GGGCATATGTGGGTATACACAGTCCCTCATAGCACCCATGTGGAAGACAGAAAATAATCTGCAGGAGTGATCCCTTCTTCCATCATGTGAGAGCCAGAGTCAAACTCAGGTGTCAGGTTTGGTAGTAAGGGCCTTTATCAGCAGAGCCTCATTCTGGAAATCTCTGTAGAGCAGGGGCCTCTGCCTCCCAAGTGCTGGGTACTGCCAGGAACCACCTCAACTTATAAATAATAATTTTACAATTTATGTGGAATATAAAATAAAAATTAAAGTTCTAGATAGCAATCGGACATAATTTCTAACTCCTTACAATCATTCTGCAAAGAATTACACTCCATTTTTTATTTAAGACAAACTTAGACCCTATTATATTATGTTATAATATGATGAGCTAAAAACAAATCTCATCCAGTTGAGGCTATAGTTTGGTAGCAGAACGTTTGCCTAAAATATGCAAGATTCTGAGTTTGACGCCTAGCACTAAAAAGGAGGAAAATAATAAACCACATTTACTTATATCAAAAATATGTACTTATTCTGATCATAAAGAAGTGTCATACAAACCCAGATCCGAAGGCAACATAGCATATAATTGCCCTATACTCTAAGGAAGCACAAGCACCCCTAATGACAGACAATGAAACTCCAGCCACTCAGGAGGCTGAAGGAAAGAAGGAAGGAAGTAAAGGCACCTTGAGCTTAGCAAAATGGGGTTGGAATGGGGAAAAGGAAGAGAAAAAGACACTGATAACTAAATAAGAACTAAATAAGAACTGATAACTAAAGAAAACTTATCTAAAAAGGACAGACATTATTGTCAGTAGCAGTAACACTCCAGAAACTGTTATCTTACCTAATTAGTAAAGATGTAGACTCAAGACCCAAACTCAGGTTTACACAATCAACAGCTCTCTTTCAGCATTTAACCTAGATAGAAAAGGCCCTACCACTGGACAGTTAATGGGTTTAGTATTCTACCAAATAAAGGCCTCATAATTCCCACTTTAAGGTAACCTTCAGGACATATTTTTATCCTGGAATTAAAATACAATTTAACAATCATTTTCTCTTCTCTTTCCAGGGTCTCATGTAGCACAGGCTGGCTTCAAATACACTACAGCCAAAGATAACCCTGAACTTGTGATCCTCCTATCGCCACTTCCTAAGTGCTGGGATTATAGGCTTGGTCCACCATGCCTGGTTTTCATGACACTCAAGGCTGAATTCAGGGCTTCTTACAAGCAAGGCAAGCACTTCACCACAATTAGGTCATAGCCTTGCACACGTGCAAGTGTGTGTGTGTGTGTGTGTGTGTGTGTGTGTGTGTGTGTGTCTTCAGCCAAACATAAAACATAAAATTTTTTCAAAATAATTTTATAAAAAGCAGTATCAGAAATTAGATATTATCAGCCAGGACATAGTGGAGCACCCCTTTCATCCCAACAGGCAGAAGTAGGTGGACTTCTGTATGAAGCCAGTCTAGTCTATATAGCAAGCTCCAGAATTGCCAGAGCTACCTAATAAAGACTATACCTCAGAAAGAAATAAAGAAAAAAGAAACTTGACTATCTCAGCTACATGTGAGTCTGTGATAAGGTGGCTTGAATCCAAATTTTTAAGACCACCTTGGGGCAACATTTTTTTTAAATGTTTTTTACTATTATTATTATGAAGAACATATGTGAGTACAGGTTTGTAAATACAGTGGAGCTGGTTCTCTTTCCAAGTGTGTTCCTATGCTCAAACTCAGGGCTCAAGGTTTGTATGGAGACAGCTTTTACCAACAGCTTTTAGCAACCTCAGCGGTCTACACCTCACCCTTTTCTTCTGTTATAAAGGTAAGTGTGTATGTGCATGATACACATGAGGAGGAACAGAAGGGCACAGTACACATGTGGAGGTCAGAGGAAACCTTTCTAGAGTCAATTCTGTCCTTCCACCCTTTGCCTGGGCTCCAAATATCAAACTCACATTCTCAGACTTGTAGGGCAGTGCTTTACCCACTGGGTCATCTTATAGGTCCAAAACCCAATTTTAAAAACAGGAAAGAAAGCTGGAGAGATGGCTTGGCCATTAAGAGCACTGACTGCACCTCCAAAGGACCCAGGTTTGATTCTCAAAACACACATTGTAGTTCATAACTGTCTGTAACTGGGCATACAGTACAGAAGAAACATGTATGCATATAGTATATACAGCACATATAACATCTATTTCATCTATTTTGTGGACCCAGACAGCAGCCTGGATGATATAGCAAGCTGAACCAGCCCAAGCTATGACAAGCTGTCTCAAAAAATAAAAAATGAGCTGGAGATAGCTTAGCAGTTAAGAGAACCAGCTGCAGGGACTGTCTCTGACATGAACTCAGTGGCTGGCTCTTTGACCTCCCCACCCCAAGGGAGGAGCAGCCTTGCTAGGACACAGAGGAGGACATTGCAGCCAGTCCTGATGAGACCTGATAATCTAAGGTCAGATGGGAAGGGGAGGACGACCTCCCCTATCAGTGGACTTAGAGAGGGGCCAGGAGGAGATGAGGGAGGAAGGGTGGGATTGGGAGGGAATGAGGGAGGGGCTACAGCTGGGATACAAAGTAAATAAAATGTAATTAATATAAAAAAATAAGAATTCAATAAAAAAGAGAGAGAAGCAGCTGTTCTTCCCAAGAACCTGGTTCAGTTCCCAGCACCCACTTGTTAGCTCACAGCCATCTGTAACCACAATTCCTGGGGATCCCACAGGTACTCTCTGCTGGCACTCACAGGTATACACACATGGTATGCAGACACATGCAGGGAAAATGTCTGTGCATGTAAACTAAAGATATTTTTAAAAGCAAAGCAAACAAACAAAAACACTAAAAAGACTGAAAAAAGAAACAGGAGGGTCTAGAAATCCTTACTGTTCAGTCAGCAGCTTTCCCTTTAGATAATCTCAGCCATCCCCTAGAGGGTCCACAGAAATGCTATTGGTGAAAATCTTTCCATGTAGTCCCTAAAGTCTGAGCTCAGCACTGGCTACACAGAAAGTTCTGGGCCCACATGGGCTATATAGTATGACTCTCTCTCAAACCTTGAAAATGAAACAAACAATAAAAACAAAACCCTTTAGAAGGAAAATAATTAATTCCCTGCTCCAGCCAGCAAACAGATCACCAATCAGCCCAAATCTACTTTCAAGGCATATAGGGGGTCACTAACATTCATTTGGCCCTCCTTCAAAAGCTCATACTCTTTGTTTTTACTGATTTAATTTCTTTCTAAAGACTAACTTTATTATTTCTTTATTATTATTATCAGGATTTTACCTGTGGTTATTCCTAACTTATGCTTCTTAATAGAGTATAACTCCTTAAAAAAAAAAAAAAAAAACTAGCCCCAACAGTTCCTGAACAGGGTCTCTGTGCTGGTTTGAACAGGGACGGCCCCCACAGACTCATGTGCTTGAATGCTTGGCCCATAGGGAGTGGCACTACTAGAAAGTACGGACTTTTTGGAGTAGGTTTGGTCTAAGAGGAAGTGGGCCACTGTCAAGGCAGGCTTTGAGGTCTCCTATGCTCAAGCTCCACTACAGTCTCCTTCTGCCTGTGGATGAAGACATAGAGCTTTTAGCTCCTTCTCCAGCACCACTTCTGCCTGCACGCGGCCATGATTCCCAGCATGGTTATTAATGGACTAAACCTCTGAATCTCTAAGCCAGACACAGTTAAATGCTTTCCTTTATTAGAGTTGCCTTTGGTCATGTTATCTTTTCACAGCAATAAACTAAGACAGTCTCCTTTGTTGTTCTATTCTGGCTGGCCTGAACTCAATATGCAGACCAGGCTGACCTCAAACTCAGAGATCTGCCTGCCTCTGCTTCAGGGACCAAGATTAAAGGACTGTATCACAACCCTCAGCATGGTCCTTCTTGATCAATTTGTGAAGAATAAAAAATTCTGGGGGCTAGAAAGATGGCTCAGAGGTAAAGAGCACTGGCTACTCTTCCAGAGGTCATGAGTACAATTCCCAGCAGCCATGTGGTGGCTCACAGCCATCTAGTGAGATTTGGCACCCTCTTCTGGCATACTGGTGTACACGTAACCAGAACACTGTATAAATGACAAATAAATCTTAAAAAAAAAAAAAAAAAAAGGATGTGCACCAGCCCTTACAAAAACAAAAAACAAAAAAAAAAAAAAAAAACCCTTTGGGCTAAGCACTAAAATAGCAAATATTTGTTAATATCAGCAAAATACAAAACTAATTTTCGATTCAATTTAACACAAGAATTATGTAAAAAAATCTACTCTGTACCAAAACACAACATAACACTTCAGTATGAATTTTGCAAAGCTCCTGAAAGGGAAAAGGGATGTAGCTCATTGGTAAAACACTAGCCTCAGCTGCCACAGTGGCGCAAATGTGTAATCCCAGCTCCTGGGGGACAGAGGCAGGTGGATCTCTGCGAGTCGAGGGTCAGCAAGATGGTGACCTCAGAGTGGTGGAAGGAGAGAACTAGCTCTTTCAAACTGTCATCTGACCTCAAGATAGGCAATGATGTGTGTGCGCATGCAAATGCACACACCCACAGCCAATAACCCTAAGGATAACGAATAAAACACCGTCTCTGTTAAGAGCTCATCAACTCTATCAACATAGCATAAAATACTAGCTCTGCACTCAAATGTTGCACAGAGGTGCTGGGGGCGGGGTGCTTGTCTGGAACACAAGAGGCTCTGGGTTCAATTCCTAGTGCTACAAACTGAAAGAAGCAGGTAAGGAGAAGGAAATGAGTAGAAAAATAAAGGAAGGAAATTGCTGTAGCAAAGATGTTAACAACTGGAATTCAGGGTTAAACAAATGTTCTCCTGAACAGCATTCAGCTCCACTGCTGTCACCTTTCCCCTACACTATTTACTTTATAAAGATCAGGGCACATATGGAGTTTCCTGGAGAGGGGACTACTCAGACAGCCTCCCGAGCGTTACTTGTAAAGGAGACAGATGCTCAGGAGCTTACCTGTACCACCTGTTTCTGTGATTGTGCTGCATGTGCTGTTGGCATCTGTGGTTTTTCCCGAGCACCTCGGCAACGATCACTGCTCACAGAAGTCATCATATATAGAATATACAAAATAATATATGTACAAAATACAAAATCTGCAAGAGAGAAGGCATTGTAAGCAAAATTCCAAACCATGGCTAAAAATGCTAAACATCTAATTCAGAGAGTGAAAGGACACACAAAGTAAAACATTGAAATGCCTCAGAATAGTATTTCAAAAGCAGCTGAACATGGCAGGGTACTTCTTTAATCCCAGTACTCAGGGGGCAGAGCTGAGCTGAGGCCAATCTCAACTGTATAGCATGTGCCAGAGAATCTGTCTCAATTTAAAAAAGGAAAGAAAGAAACAACCTCCTCCCCAAATAAAACAGTCCAGTAGCATTCTAAATTATACTTGTATCATTTAGTGGGGAGAGCACCGAACCCAGGGCCTCATGAATACTAAACAGATACAACATACCTACATCATCAGCTACTTGTGAATCTTAACTTCATTTAATCATGCAACCAGAAATGTTATGGTGGAGGCTGACAAGATGGCTCAGTGGGTAAAGACACTTGCCACCAGGTCTAATGACCTGAGTTCAATTCCCAGGACTCATAGAATAGGAAAGAATCAACTTCCATATGCTGTCTTCTGACCTCTTTCATATACTTTGACACTCAATGCCACAAATATACACAGACAAACAAACAGATACAGAGACACACACACACAAAGTGTTAAAGAAAAATATGTAGCCAGGTGATTGGAGCACACACCTTTAATGCCAGCAGAAGCAGGCCAACCTGGTCTACAGAGAAATTCTGTCTCAAAAACACAAACAAACAGATAAAACTTTATGTTAATATGAACCCAATGGCACATGCTTGCCTTCTAATTTTAGTTTACGTGTTTCAGACTAGGGAAGCAGTGCTGTCCCAGATACCTGGAGGAATCCTTTAGGTCTGACTGTCATAAATTATAACAAACTGGGATGGTCTGAATGAGGATGGTCCCCAGTTGACAGCACTCTCACTGGAGGCCCTGGGAAGGAATAAGAAATGCAGCCTTGAGCTGGAGAGATGGCTCAGTGGTTAAGAGCAATGGCTGTTCTTCCAAAGGTCCAGAATTCAAATCCCAGCACCCACAACTGGGCACACAAATGTCTATGAGATCTGGTTCTCTCTTCTGGCATGCAGGGACACATGCAGACAGAACACTGAATACATAATAAATAAATACATCTTTTAAAAAAATTAACAAAAAGAAGAAAGAAAGAAATGCAGTCTTGCTGGGCAATGGTACTCCTTTAATCCCAGCTTGGAATAAGTTCCAGGACAGCCCGGGCTACACAGACAAACCCTGTCCTGAAACACTGTCCCCTCAGAAAAGTGTTAACCTTGCTGGAGGTATGTCACTGGGGATGGACTTTGAAGGTCCGGAAAGAGTGTGTCTGTCTCTCTCTCTCTTTCTCTGCCTGAAGCTTGCGGCTCAGATGTGCGTTCTCGACTACTTCTCTAGCACCACGCGGTCTACAGCCTGCATCAACGCCATAAAGACAATGGAGTAACTTTCTCAATTAAATGCTGTCTCTTTTAAGACTTCACTGGGTCTTTCCACAGCAACAGAACAGTGACTAAGACACTAAACAGCTCATCATACTACTTCACACACTAATAAATATCTTTCAAATGTGTTAGTTATAAAAGGCCTAACATTTCCTTTTTTTGTTTGTTTTGTTTTTTTGGGTGTTTTTCGAGACAGGGTTTCTCTGTGTACCCTGGCTGTCCTGGACTCCCTTTGTAAACTAGGCTGGCCCCAAACCCAAAGAAAGCAGCTACCTCCGCTGGGATTAAGGGTATGCTCCACCACACCCCGGCTAAGGCCTAACATTTTTTTTTAAAGAGAGGTCCTGATATTTACTTTCAGGACAGGTCCTATACTAACTGGATAGTCATAAGACCAAAGGCCCAGAGTATATTACTGCACTGCTTTTTACATTATATCAGCAAATAACCAATTAACCAATTAACTAGAACATCTCATATGCCCCAAAGGCTAAATACTTTATTTCCAACTGCCTCTCAGGTGTATGAATCACATTCTGCATCCTATTTTGAGCTTAACTACTTTGAGATTGTTAATTTGTTTTTACATTATATAGAACAAATTTGTTTTACTATAATTGTATTACTTTTAAGGCATCCTGTAAGCTTTAATTATTTATTTTACTTTATTATTTTTGTGTTCACGCCAACATGTGTGTCACAGTCAGTGTGGAGGGCAGAGGACAAACCTTCCTCGTACATGCTCAGGCTTCACGCTTCTGTGGCAAGTACTTTTCCCACTGAGCATCTCACCAGCCCGTTCTCTGGGTTTAAAGGTGTTGGTACAAATAAGACAAAGCAATGCTTCTGAAACCACAAACCATTGTAAAATTATAAAAAGCTTCTTTATATTGCTTAAATGAAGGGAAATCAAACTAAGGCCTTGGACAGACAGGACAAGCCCTCTACTTATGACCTATAGCTCTACTCCTTTACTTTTTTATAATCCACTTCATCACCAACACCTGTTATTTTTTATTACAACTAGGTTTCTTTCTGGAGACAAAGGCTCACCATGTAGTCCAACCTAGAGTTGAACTGAAGATTTTTCTACTTCAACCTCCTGAATTTCTACTTCAACCTTCCATGCTACATAGCAGCATGCTGAATTTTCTGTAAATCTAATTCATTTTAAATGAAGCATCAAAGGTTGCTGAGGTGGCTCAGCAAGTAAGAGCACTTGCCACCAAGTCTAAATTTTTTCTTTCAGTTTCCAGGACCCATATAATGTAAAAAAATAAATAAATAAATAAAACCAAGATGGGTGTGGTAGGCCATTCCATTAATCTAAGTACTCTCGAGGCAGAAGTGGGTGGATCTCTGTGAGTTCAAGGCCAGCCTGATCTACACAGTCCAGAACAGCCAGGGCTCTGCTACAGAGAGACCCTGTCTCACAAAACCAAAACAATAAAATAAAGTTCCAATCTCTGATCAACACACAAACAGGGGAAGGGGGAGAAGGAGGAACTTCCCAAAGAAATCACCAAAAACCCTTAAAATTTTTTACCACCTGTAACCTAAAAATCATGGAAACCAGATTAAGAACTACTTTCCAGGGTGGGACAGGGTAGAAAGGAGAGAGGGGGTTTCGATCAGGATGTAAAATGAATAACTAAAAATTTTAAAAATTGCAAAAGAAATTAGAAATACCTTCAACTAGCACACCAAAGCAATACACAGGGAACTTCTGCCTTCTTTTGGAAACAGAATCCTGTGTAGTAAGTAGACCTGTGTCTGCTGTGCCCAGCTGCTGGTGCAGAGAAATTGCGTTCACACTTGTTTTTCATCAGCCCTACTACTTTGGAACAGGTTTGAAGAGAATTCTTAGAATAGAAACAGACAAGAGCAAAAGACTTCTAAAAATAATCTGTCGGAAAAGCTTCCATAGCTCAGGTTCTTAAGCTACAAAAAGCATGAGGTTACTGTGATCAAGTGAAATTTCAAAACACAAACGAAAAATAAAATAGAAAGTCAAGCAAAACCAAATAAAATTTCTAGTATTCAAACTAAAGATATGAATCAGTGGTAGAGTTGCTGATAAAAAAAAATCAGAAATTTCCCACATTATTTAAGGTACAAAATGGTCTATATTTGCGATGTAAGGAGGGAGGGAGTGTGGAGGTCAGGCCAACTTTAGAGAATAAGCTCTCTCCTCTGACATTAGGTTCTAGAGGTCAAACTCAGGTCATCAAGTTTGAAACAAGTGCTTTTATCTGCTGAACCACATGGCTGGTCCTGAGGAAAAAAAAAAAAAAAAAACCTTTGCAAATAAGGTACTTCAGCCAAATAACTGTTCTAAGAGATCCCAGACTGAGCTTCAAGCTCAGTAACAGATTGCTTGCCTAGCATTCATGAGGCCCTGGGTTCAATCCTTGCCTCTAGGCAGTGGAGGGGCAGGGAATGGGCAAGGCAAGAGGAAGAGGGAGATTTGTTATCTCAGTTTAGAATATTCTGAAAACTAGTTAACAGCAACCTACATCTCTAAAGTTTATACAACCTAACACAAATTCATCATGAAGACACTAAATTTTAGGCAAAAATGACTTACATCTGTTATACAGCAGTACCAAACTCTGTCACAGTGCTTCTCAACCTGTGGACGAGACCTAGCAACCAACTCTGGCCTCTGCACTCATGTACAGACAAGGAAGAATGTCTAATAACTCAGTTCTGAGACTCTTTCTTTGGTAAAAATGATTCAAAATTCTAAAACCAGCAAGTAATGATTAAGAGAAGCAAACATGTATCATTTTGCTATGTGCCAGGTAATAGTTTAAGGTTCTCAGCTAGGCTGGTACTTGCTAGGCACCATAGTACTGGCTATGTAGCCTAGGTTACCCTCAAACTTAGGACTGTCCTCCAGTCTCAGCCTCTAAAGTGCTAAGATTACAGACATGTGCCTTTGAGCCTGATCTTTAAGGGTTTTAGGGTATTAAATCATAAACTTTTCAGCATGCTCAACTACTTATTACTCCCGTTTTACATTGTCATTACATGACAAAGCAAAGGACTCCCCACCTGGCTTCCTGTCTGTGCTCTTAAGCCCTGTACCATCTCCAAATGTTCAATTACAGAAACACAGCCCCCAACTTGGCTCTCTCTGAGACAGCCACTACTGACATCACCTGAATAGTTACCTCAGCCCTAATCCAACATACCTAGTCTGGGCCAGAATCCCACCAAGCTCTGACTTTCAAATTCCCAGCAAGTATTCGCTTTGGGTTTCTAACATTATTATATTCTTGTGACCACTTGTGTTTTATTATTCATTTTTTTTTTCCAATCTGCATTCTTGTTTTTTTTCTATTTTTCTCAACCTTTTTTTGCAGAGGAAATCAATGTAGCACTGGGAGACTCCAGGGAGGACTGGCTGCTCTTTCAAAAGACCCAGGCTGAAGTCCCAGCCCCCACATGGCAGCACCCAACTGTCTGTTAACTTCAGGATCTGACACTATCACACATACATGCAGGCAAAACACCAATGTACATAAAATTTAAAAAAAAAAAAAAAATTCTACTTGTTTAAAAAGTCCAGAAAAGGCAGCAAGAAGAAATCAACACTGCTGTCAATCTATAAATAAATAAAAAAGGCAGTGAGGTGCCAAATACTCAATTATGAGGCCTGATTCCATGCAGCTCCAACTGCTTGTGTTCACATGCCAGGAGCTGACCAAGCTTATATGAGCAGGGTCAGGCCTCTAGCAGCTGGTAGACAAGGATGAACTCCCTATACAATATTATCAGTTGGGCTATGTTTATAACCTGCCCATGGAAAAGGTAAGTGCTGGTCAACTCTTTCAACTCTTAAACATTAAAAGACATCAAATTTTATTTGGTACAGTCACATTTCTCTCCAGCTACCTACAGAAAAGGGAAAGTTTCATTGCCTGTGGCTTCTTCCACACGTGTCTCATTTTTATTCAGCTCTCTCAGCTCTCAACCTTTTTTATTATTATTTTATTACACTAGTCTTTAAAGGTGCTAGGTATCAAATCCAGGACTTCATATAAGCTAAGCAACCATCTACCACTGAGGCACATGGACCAGTCTCTAACCTAGCAGCTATCAAGGATTTTTTGCCCTCCAATTCCCCTTGAGAAATTGCTCTTTATTCATAACTAATCTTTACACTTATTTCTAACAGACCTGTCTCAAACAAGTAAACAAAAAAGGCCCCATTACACACAGCATTTCACAAGCCCTATCAAGTTAAAAAATATAGTGATCCTTCAGCATGAATGAAGGACCTTGAAGCCTGGGTTCAAGTCACAGCACGAACACACCCTCACCCAAAAACAAGCACTTCTCAGATAATATCCAGATGGTACTGTCATTAGCACACTATACTGTACCATACTATACTATACTGGGCCCAGTGCCCTGTGCTAAAATCACATCCTCCCTTGGGAAGATGAAATAGGATGTTTGCCAAGAATA